ACAAGCAGATAGTTTGTCAGACTTTGGACTTCACTGCTACTGGGAAAGGAGAGCATCAAGGTACTCCAAGAAAGACTAGCAGGATGTACGACATAGCATCCTAGTAAACGGTGCAACCGTCTTGCCACTCAGGTCTCCATGAACATGAGCATCCAGGCTTTGCCTAGAACAGAAGAAAATCTCAGTGTTCTATGGAAGGGCATAAATGTGTCGTGTTGAGAGGACGCGCCATTTCCAGGGAATATCCGGGTGTTTGGAGAAGTTTCTCTCCTTAAGCTTCAACAAGCAGGATCAGACAGGTCCTCTAAATTAGAAGAAATGATAGGCCAAGGGTGGGGAAGAAACCAAAATCCCATGAGAGTGAGTAGGAGAGGGGAGGGTCAAGGTCAGGTCGTGCTTTGTCCCTTGAGCTAAGCACGAGAGACCGCCCTCCAGTCTTTCTCCCTGAAGGGCTGGGGGGGTCCTCGCTCACACTCTCTCCTCAGCACACAGACACAGGGGACTAGGGTGGAACTGTTGCTTGTCGCGTAAACACGTGCCTCTTCCGGGATGAGATTGCAGCCATAGATCTCGTTTAATTGATATTAGATTTTATTGTAGAATGCTAAAATTTTAATGTGTCTATAAATCTGTTCCATGCTTGCGGAGGAATATCTGTATTGAGAACATGCTGTACGAGAGGAAGAAATGAGCCTACAATGTGCATTATTAATATTTCAGCAGATGAGAAGAATCGGGGCCTCACAGAGGAAATCAGAAAAACAAATGAAGCTGGGTGTTCTAATTTGGTTCAAGACAAACCTGCCTGTTAGAGACATTTTAACCTCACGGGGTCAGCCGTTTTGTTGAAGAAGAGAAAAACCAATGCGTAGCTGGTGCAGATGGGTTTATGATATTTGGGGCAGCTCTGGAGCAGACGCTGGCAGTGAGTGTGGTGTGTTTCCAGTAGGAACAGTTCAGACAGCTGTGTGTCCTGTTCCCTAACCCAGATTTGTGAAATCTAGGCAGGGTGCAGAGGTGATGGCTTGCCTGGGGCTAACTACAGCCCGCTGTGAATTCCCCTGTACAGACAGCTCCACAGGAAGGTCGGCTCCTGCTTCTGCTTCCTCAGCATAAAATGCAAAGTGTGTTTGAGGTAGGGGGTGTGGAGGCTTCTTGCAAAGAGCCCTGGATGTCAAAGACAATTAGCTTAATTTATGGGCCACTTCAGCGTGGGGCTGAATCCAAAAGTTCTGCGGTTATTCTAAAATTAATGGTGAAGAAAGTGCGTGAAGTCATGTCTGAGGAGACGCAGTGGCTCCTGACCCGCTCTGGGCTGGATGTTCTGCTCAGTGTCCAATGCCCACCAAGCCCTCCTGTGTAGGGACAAGCAGGAAAGTTTCAGGAGCACAGACTCGTTGGTGATATTGGCTGTGTGTGTGCACTGCTCACCTTCCATCTAACTGATTCTGAAATGATGCATGTTTGCGGTGGTAAAGAACCAGGGTTCTTCATGGGCCCATCCTGGTCTCCTTTCTAATTCCCGTGCACGCCGATGAAACTAGAACAGTCTCCTGTGGGGAGTCTTTGTTGAAAATATTTTTACTTTATTGTATGTATGTGTGTGTGTGTGTGTGTGTGTGTGTGTGTGTGTGTTGGGGGGAGTGGGGTTTATTTACTATGTATTGCTATGTAGACGTCACAGGACAAATCTGTGGAGTTCACTCTTCTGTCAATCCACTTTTATGTGAATTCCAGGTCTCAAAAGTCAGGAAGCCATGTGTCTTATTCAGGGTTTCTATAACTGTGACCAAACACTGTGACCAAAAGCAGATTGGAGGTGGCGGGGAGGAAACGGCCTACTGCACCTTACAAGTTCAAATTACAGTCTATCATAAGGAGAAGCCAGGGCAGGGGCTGAAGCAGAGACCACGGAGGAGTGTTCCTGCTCGGTGGCTTTCTCCACTGGCTACTCAGTCTGCCTCCTTCTTCTGAATCTCAGGACTACCATCCAGGGCTGGCATCGTCCCCTCCCGCGGAATAGGTCTACCCATACCTATTATCAATCAAGGAAAATGCGCCACAGGATTGCCCACAGGTCAATCTGGTTGGAGCATTTTCTCAGCTGAGGTTCCCTCTTTCCAAACGACACTAACCTGTGTCAAGCTGACATAAAACAACAACAACAACAAAAACCTGACCAATTGCTTACGAAGCAATTGTTATCACCTGCTGAGCCATCCTGCTGGTCCCACATGTTTAGAATCTTGATCTCTGTGAAGCTAGCCCAGGTGACAGTGACCCTTGCTATGGGGTTGAGCATGTGATGTTCCTGCATAGGTTCAGGATTTGATTGCTTGGTCTCCAGATGGAGACACTGTTTGGGAAGGCTGTGGACACTTAGGGGGTGGGGCTGAGACTGAGGAAGTGGGCCACTGGGGGAAGAGTTCTTAGGGGTATATTGTCTGTTATGGTAAAAATAAAATGGCGTACGTCCCCGAGTGGCAGCAGTGGGCAGCGGGCATGAGACCACAGCGGGCCATGAAGGCAGCTGGGTCCCAGGCAGGGAGTCGTGTGGCGGGTGAGAGACCAAGATGGATAGGCATGCCATGCAGAGAAGTGGGTATTTATTTAGTGGGTTATGGAAGGGGAAAAGGGAGAAGGGGAGGAGGGGGAAGAGCAGAGAGAGGCAGAAAGAGAGAGAGAGAGAGAGAAAGAGAGAGGGGGAAGGGGAGAAATGGGGAGAAGGGAACTAGGCAGAACCTGCCTCTGAGAAAGAGAAAGAGAAAGAGAGAGAGAGAGAGAGAGAGAGAGAGAGAGAGAGAGAAAGGGAAAAGACTCAGGCTGGAAGCTGAAGATCAGCTTGCCTTGATGGTGGGGGGAGTGGGCGGGGCTTGTTTCTTAAAGGGACAGGACAGACCCTCTGTAAGACCTTCTTGGTGTCTGGATGTTTATCCCAAAGTCCTGGGGCCGAAAAAAAAAGACTAAAGCCTTGGAACACCTGCCCTTAAATATCCTACCAAGTTTTCCTGTCAGGAATTTTCTTGCAGCAATGAACAAAAGCAATAGATACGGCCTTTCTTCAACACGAGGGTTTTCTCCACATCTCCTTTCTGCTAGCATCCATTCAGATGACACCTGCAGGGGCTGTGTCATGTACCAGAAATTTATAGGAGCCTGTCGCTAGGGTGCCTGTGTCCTCCATCTCCACGTGCTTTTGTTAACCTCACTCGGCCTGAGCACAGAGAGAGAATCCGATCCTCACCTCTGGTTGCTCAGTTCATACCCCAGAGCCACCACCTGCATTTGTCATGTCCACGCTAAGTGCCACGCGTGGGTTCTCAGTATCCAGCAGCACCGTAAGTCCTAGCCCATAATACTTACATGAAATCAAATATATTTGAGTTCAAAGACTTCTCAGTGTCCCCACTAAATCTCATACATATGGCACAATGTTCATTAGATATTTTTAAGTCAGTTAACAGAGAAAAACTTCAATTTTATTTATATCGGTCCAAACAAATCCAACTCATTCTCAGTATATCACAGACCTAAATATGCATAACGAACAGAATAGTAGCAGCCTCCTCACACCTAAAGTTTAATTATCCCAGACCTGATTAATTTAGGGACAAAAATATTTGTAGTTTCCCTGAACAGTTTCCAGAGGGACCCATACTCATGGGGTAGAGATGGCAGAAGAGGAAGCAGCAACATAGTGGTACCGGTTCAACTCCACAGTCAAGTCTGGATGCCCTTGTGTGCTTTCTGGTCTGTAAAATGAGAGCACAGAAGACGGATGGGTGACTGTTAAAGATACACTTACATAATGCACTTTATTGACATCGCAGCCCATCCATCAGCCTAAAGCTTGTTTCAACTCTTAGAACCCATGATACAGGACTACTGCTTTTGTCAATGGATAATTACAGTCAAGCAGCCCAGGACAAAAGTTGGATTGTGGAAAACAAAACAGAACAGTATTTATTATTTTCCAAGTGTACGTGACCAGCTGGGAGCCTGGTCGCAGGGGCGGGGTGGGTGAGGGCTGTCTTACACGTTTGACAATGGCGTTGCCTTTTAAGTTCAGCTAAGGGACAGATCTTGCTGCTGTGCTAGAACCTAGTGTGACAGGCTAAACATTTTCCTAAGCTGTCTGTGCCCTAATGCCCAGAACCTGCGAATATACCACCTTACATGGTACAAGGAAGCCTATAGACGCAGTCTTGAGAGGGAATCGTCTAGACTATCTGGGTGGCCCTAAAATGTCACAAAGTTCCTTTGAAACACGCAGGAAGATCAGCATTAGAGAGAAGCGGTAAAGATGGAAGTGGGGGCCAGAGAAAAGGGAAGAGTCAGCCTGGCTGGCTTTGAGATGGAGGGAGGACTGTGAGCTGGAGAAGACAGGCCCCTCAGGAACTGGCACCGGGAAGTAACACGGCCCCTGGGTAGTCCAGAAGGATCACAGCTCAACAGACCCATCTTAGACTACTGGCCTCCAGGAGGAATTCTTAGCGCCGGCGAGTTTGTGATGTTTAGTAGTCATGACAACACTTAACTACTACAATGCAGCCGAGGGCGTGGCTAGCACAGCAAGAAGACGTGGATCACCAACCTAAAGAGGGCAGATGGGCACCTTTAATTGACTAAATCAATCACAAGGCCAGCATAGAGCCAAAGAATGCAGAGACTCTCCCTCTAGCTGCTGGTTTTTTGTTCGTTTGTTGAGACTGGGTTTCTCTGTGTGGACCTGAAATCCTGGAATTCGCTCTGTAGACCAGGCTGGCCTCAAACTCAGCGATCCTCCTGCCTCTGCTTCTCCAGTGCTGGGACGAAAGGCATGTGCCACCACCCTGCCTCACTTCACCTCTGGATGTAATCTATTTCTCCCCGCTTCCTGGTGGGATTCCCACTAAGAAGGAGAAGACAGGGAGGGGTAAAGAAATTATATGTATGTAATAGCTGACCTCCTAGCAATTTCTAAACTTGGTTTGTCTTTCGTTTTTTATTTCTAGGTGCACAGGGAGGATGAGGCTCTGGACCCTGGGCACTAGCATCTTCCTAAGGCTTTGGCGGACATATGTGTTCTCAGGAAGTACAGGTTGGATGGACTTCATCCAACATTTGGGAGTTTGCTGCTTTGTGGCCTTCCTCACCACGAGCCTCCTCTCGGCAGCCTTCTACTGGTTCCTGCCCTCAGTCGCCATGCTCGCTGCCGTGTGGGCAAGCACCTGTGTTTTCCTGTGCTGTTCCAAGCACGCCCGCTGTTTCCTTCTTCTCGCCTTCCTCTCCTGCGGCCTCCGGGAAGGCAGGAACGCTTTGATTGCGGCTGGCACAGGGGTGGTGATCTTGGGACATGTGAAAAATACATTTTATAACTTCAGAGATCTCCTAGACAGTATGACTTGCAACCTAAGGGCAAAGAGCTTTTCCATCCATTTTCCACTTTTGACCCGATACCGTGAAGCCCTTCAGTGGATTTATGGCCTTGCCACTCTGCCGAATCTATTTGATGACCTACTTTCTTGGAACCAGACTTTAGTGGTCTCCTTCTTTAGTCCTAGCCGTACCCTCGAGGCTCATATGAATGACACCAAAGGAGAAGTCCTTGGTGCCCTGTCCCATATGGTAGTCATGACAGAGCTATTGTATTCCTTGGGCCAGAAGCTTCTCGCCCTGGCCGGGCTTCTCCTCATCCTTTTCAGCACTGGCCTCTTCATGAAGCGGTTCCTGGGCCCTTGTGGCCGGCAGTATGAGAACGTCTACATCACCAGACAATTCGTTCAGTTTGACGAAAAGCAGAGGCACCAACAGCGGCCCTGTGTCCTCCCTCTGAGTAGGAAGGAACGGAAGAAATACATCATCATCCCGTCCCTTTGGCTGAGTCCCAAAGAGAGGAAAAGCCTGGGGCTCTTTTTCCTTCCCATCCTGACCCATCTCTACGTGTGGGTGCTGTTTGCAGCTGTGGATTTTCTGCTCTTCCGACTCATTTCCTCCATGAACAAACATCTCCAAAGCTTGCCAGGGCTTGAGGTTCATTTGAAACTTCATGGAGAGGTAGGGGCTCACAGGTACTCCCTGCAGTGTCCCGGGCTTTTTATTGGTGGGCCTTGCAAAAAATTCTGGGACTTCCCAAGTCTGACAGTGTCTTCAGATTATGGGTGTCTGGCACACGGAAGGAGCCCGGTAGGTATGGCTAAATTAGGTCCCAAGGCTAGAACAGGACTCCGTGTTATTTTTCTGTGGCTACGGCAGCAAACAATCACAGGCTGGGTGTCTGAGCAGCAAACAATCACAGGCTGGGTGTCTGAGAACAACACACATTTATCTTCTTCTTCTAGTTCGTCAGTGAGAGGTCTAACATCACTTGCTGTTGGCGTGGGCGTCCTCCTTCCAGAAAGTAGGGGAACTTAACTCTGCCTGGTCCAGTTTTACTTGGACAGTGATATTCCTTGGCCTATGGTGGTATTACACATATCTCTCTGTGCATGGAAAAAAATCTCTATGTCCCTCTCAAACCAGGTACATGGTCACATCATCATGTACACGGGGACAACTTCTCTATCTCGAGGCAGCTGACTTAATCTTTCTGCTGAAGCCTGTTTCCCAGACAGAGTATCACAGGCTCCTGGAGTATCACAGGCTCCTGAGTGTCACAGGCTCCTGAGTGTCACAGGTTCCTGGAGTATCACAGGCTCCTGGAGTATCACAGGCTCCCTGAGTATCACAGGCTCCCGGAGTATCACAGGCTCCTGGAGTATCACAGGCTCCCTGGGTATCACAGGTTCCTGGAGTATCACAGGCTCCTGAGTGTCACAGGCTCCTGAGTGTCACAGGCTCCTGAGTGTCACAGGCTCCTGGAGTATCACAGGCTCCTGTGTGTCACAGGTTCCCGAGTATCACAGGCTCCTGGAGTAGGGCATTTTATCTTCAGGGAACTTATACTCAGCACAGCCTGAAGTGTAGAAATAGGTTTTGACTCTGGTTTTAAACTTTGGTTTCATTTTGCTTGCATCTCAAGGGGTGTAAACGAACCTGAAAGGCAGGTTTGGGGCTTGACTTCCTCCCACTGTCAAGACTTGGGCAGACAGACTTCAAACTCTACGGGAGAACTTTCTCATGCTGTCTGAGTCCTTGTCACCAGAAAAGGACTTCTGTCTAAAGGGTGGGATGTTGAACCCATGTACATCTTAGCTTTTTTTTTCCCCACATAACTTCAGACAGTGTGCGTGTGTGTGTATGTGTGTGTTGAATTTTTATCAGTAGAACCCTACTCTCCCTTTCTCTGCTTCTGGGTTGCTCAGATCCTCCTGCCGCAGCCATGCATCCACTTCCCTTTCCTCTGGTTCAGCGCACCCAGTCTCTGGGCTCTTGCCCTCCCAATCCTGAGCTGCTTCTTAGAGTTGATTACTCTGAGCTCTCTGCTGCCCCTGAAGAATTCACTTAATTACAAGGTCCTCTGTTGCTCTAGATAGTCGGAACAGGCCGATAATGGAAGGCCTGCTTCAAATGAAGCCAAATAAGAATCCCAGAAGCAAAGGCCTCTGTCCACCTCACTCTTCCCTTGGTCTTGATGTTTTTCCCTCTCAGTTGTCCCCTTCCCTCCTGTTATGTTTCTCTCATGCATTTCTCTCTCAGTCAATAACAAATATCCATGCCTGATTCTCAGTGATTTAGACTTGAGTGTGTGTGTGTGTGTGTGTGTGTGTGTGTGTGTGTGTAAGTTCTATCTTGCCACAAACACTGCTGAGTACCAGGGACATGATAATTTCTAGACCACAATAGTTGCATGCAGAGCTCACATGCCAGTGGAAGAGGCTACTGTGGCCACACATAACAGCAGAGCAGCAGGGTCGGATGTCTGTGCAAGGCATCTGTGACATCTCCCAAGTTTTCTTCTGCTCTCCCTGGGAGACTGTGCCAGCAGCTAGCCTCCTTCCGAGTGGCTGGCAATGCCCTGCCCTTACCTCAGGATGCCCTTGAAGGCTCCTTGCCTCCTCTGTTGCTGCAGATTTGTGAAAGAGAAATCAGACAGGAAGAGAAACATTGGTACAGAGTTTTGTCAATATTTCTCTCCCACTATCATACAACTTTAGACAAATGTTTCAGATAAAGACTATGGGAAACGATCCGACTTGAGCTGGGATGGATCAGCAGTATAAGCGATAATAGCCCTCGTTCCTATTTCATGAGCACACCCCATGGGCCAGGCTCTGCACACATTAGCTCTCCAGGACAATCCGATAACAGAGCGAGCTTGCCTTCCATCCATCATGCAGCAGCACCGTCTCAGCAAATTGTTTACTTAAGAGACGTAAACATGGTTTAAATCATCGGGGTCTCATTTCGTATATTGCCTGGCATTTTGAAAGAGCGACTGTGCCTTCCACGCTGCCCCGAACCGAGCCCATACAAAAAACGTTGACTCAATCTTTCCGAGGCTCCCACTCCCAATGGCAAATCCCCAGCTAGATTTCCTGACTGAATAGCTCCTTCCCAGACCGAACACCCGCTGCTTTCTTATTGCAGAATTGCTCATCACCGACTCAATCGATGTGTTTGTTTCTTCCCTCGTATTAAAAAGAGCGCATGCCGCCACTCTGGGGACTGCAATCTCCATTTAATTGTAGACCGACTGTCTTTTTAATAAAGGGAGAAGAGCGGCTACCCAAACGTTTCCCTCTGCTTAGGCACAAATGTGAGTTGGCACTTATAATACAGAGGGCCTAGGTTTGGTGGTAGGTCTAAGACGCAAGATGTTCTCTGGGTGGGGTTGTTTTGTTATTTTTATTTTTTATTTTGAGAGGTCATTTGCTTCTGCTTGGCACCAGGGTGACAATAACTTACTAAGTATTCCAGTCTGTAAGGTTAATGCGCCATCCCCAAGGTGTTCAATTTACACTGGGAGGTAGTTTATTCAGGGGCAGATCTGGTCCATTAATTCCTGCTTTACCAAATTAGAAAACAAATCCACCGAGAGAGTAAATGACTTTCCCGGGTCAGATGAGAAAAGAGCTGAGTCAGCAAGCAGTCTCCCCTCGGGTGGCTGAGCTGGGTGGCTCAATGTCACCATCCGTCTGTCCGTCTTCTGTGGCATCAGCGGAACCATGAGTTGCTTCTCTAGCCCTCAGACCCCTTCCGACCACCCAGAGACACCAGAAAATGCCCTGTTTTAAAAACCTCCTCCAACAAGACTTTAGGATCTCCCTCAGCGATGTGGGCCAACATGTCACCCTAAAAGGGGACATCAGAGTCTTAGGAGGGAACAGTCCCCCCAACTCCAATAAGTTGATTGATGCTATGACTCAGTGAACATCTTTTAACTTTGTGGCCTGAGGAAGGGGAATTTGTCCTTCCTTGGAGGCTGTGCCTGGGACTTGAATGACTATGTAACCAACCACGCTCTCTTCCATTTGAGCTGATTCCCCATCCTTCATCGCCTCTATGTGCCCTAGGTAAAGAAGCAGGTATTCCATTAGAAAACGGGTATATGGCTATGCTTGCTAACGTAGTCCCCAGCCTTCCTAGAACCTAACATTTCCACCGGCTTGTGGCTCACTGAGAAGAGATAGAGCAGACAAACTCTATTTCATAGATTCTCTCCACAAATCCACTTGGAAGACACTGTCCCCTTTATAGATAAAGTCATCCTTTCTCCTCGGCTCCCATCATGACCCATGCAGCAAGACTTGACAGACAGTTGCTTTAGACAAAGCTCCCTAAATATTTGCAGGCAAATAGTGTGTTGCAAGGAAGTAGAAAGACAAAGATAGAGAAGATGGCGTATTTATTGACTATTTTGTTCTTTCATTTCAGAGGCGAGGCACTCAAGATATCATCCATGATTCTCCCTTTAATATATCCATGTTCGAACGCAGCTGCATTCCTAAACCAAGGCTTACTGTGTCTGAGACTTGGGTTCCTCTCAGTATTATTCTTGCAGCGCTAACAGTACTAGGATTGTTGTCTTCCATGCTGATGCAGCTTAAAATTCTGGTGTCAGGAGCCTTCTACCCTGGAGTGGAGAGGGAGCGAATCCAATACCTCCATGCAAAGCTCCTTAAGAAAAGAGCAAAGCAGCCACGGGGAGAAGCTGAAAGGAAACGGAATCTGTACTTTAAAAAGGTAAGGTCGAGGGGGAGGTATGCCTCTAAGTAAGCCAAGGCTGAGTCTGGAAGGCAAATGACAGAGGATTCCAAAGTATTCTACAAGTTCACATCAGGAGACCAGCCACAATACAGTTGAGTGAGCCTACTGAACCAAGTAGGTTGTAGTTGGCTATTGGGAAGATCTATTGTATTGGCTATTTTGGAACAGTGTCCAATTATTTCCTTTCCACACCAAAAATAAAGTAAACACATGGAAGGAGCTACCACTTTAAATAATTTGCTCATTCTATCTGTATGTCTCTGTAGTTGGATAGACAGACAGACGGACGGACGGACATACGGACGGATAGATAGACAGATATAAATATAGATATAGATGCCTCCTATATACATTATTGATTTTATTTGGCTTATTTATTAATGAGATAAAAGTAAAAAAACTGCAACCAGTTAAAAGAATAGTTCAAAGCACTCTCAGATCCAGGTCATCAGGATAACAAAGTAAAGTTGCTTTATAAATGCTAAAACTAAGACAGGCAGTGGTGGCACACGCCTTTAATTCCAGCACTTGGGAGGCGGTTCTCTGAGTTCGAGGCCATCCTGGTCTGTAGAACGAGTTCCAGGATAGCCAGGGCTACCCAGTGGAGCCCTATCGACAGCCAGGGCTACCCAGTGAAGCCCTATCTGGAAAAAACAAAAACAAACAAAGGCCAGCTAGACCCTTCTTAAGGGTGGACGGGAGGAATCACCAGGCTCTCGAGAGAGAGACATCCATTTCACCTCCAGCGCACGATGACCGACCTCGCTGTGCTCAGACCCCTACAACAGACACCGCTGGGAAACAGCTACAGCCAAGGCAAGCCCAAGAAAGACCGCGAGGATAACTTCTGGGTCTTTCAAAAGCTATAGCAGAGGCATGCGCAGTGGCTCCCGTGTCTACCCACCCTCTTTTCAGGTCCATTTCTGGCTTCCAGTCCTGAAACTGATTCGGAGGAGACACACAAACACAGCATATGAAGATTACCCGTGAGACACCTGGAGTCCCTCTTCCGGGTCAGCTGCTGCTGCTCACTGTCGGCTCAGCAAAGGGGGCTGTGTGAGAAGATCTACCGATGTTTGTGGTTACAGGGCCCCCTTTTCTCTCGGGTGGTTTTTCAGGCTACTTGTTGATCATAATGCCAAACGGCTCCCAAGTGGATGACTTTTCAGTCTGTCTTCCAAACAAAGCACGGTATCTAGACCGTGGCACAGCTAAAGGGACTGTGGTGGCTCCATTGAAAGCGTACTCCAGATGCTCGGATGTTTGAAAACTTGATGGTGCTGTTTGGGGGATGCTTAAAGATGCGGCCTGGGGGACAAAGACAAAGTGTGTCCCTGGAGCAGGGCTTTGCGGTTTTGTAAGCTATGCACTGATTCCTGTTTGCTCTCCGCTTCCTGCTTGTGGCTGGAGGTGGGGGCTTCCGGCTGGGCTTGCCTCCATGTTTGCCCATCACCACCTTCCCCACTGTGACGGTAATGGAGTCTTCCCTCTGGAACCTTAAGCTCAAATAAACCCCTTCGTACTGTAAGTCGCCTTGACTTATACCGCAATGGACAAGGAAGCAGTATGGCTTAGAGCAGAGGAAAAAAAAATTCAAAAAATAATTATGAACTCTGTAATGAATTAAGTAAAATGCTGCAGGGTCCCTGGTGGCTGCAGTGGGCAGTGGGCCATGAGATCACACTGCAGGTCCCTGCGCGGGGGTGGGGGGGGGAGCAGGCAGCAAGTAGTGGGCAGTGGGAAGCCAGGCAGGGACAGCGCAGTTCCCCAAGTGACTGCAGCAGGCCACGAGGAGAGACAGGCTGATGGGCATGCCACAAGACCACACTGCAGGTTTCTGAAGGCAGCTGGCCCTGGGCGCAG